ATATTAAAAAAGAGGAAAAATAAAAGAAAGAAAAGGATTCCTTTCTCGACCTTTTGGCTAAGATCAAGTGTAGTTTCTGTTCTGATCAGTTTAATATCTGATCGGTGGTCCATCGGGCCACAACGATATTAGAAAAAAAAAAAAAAAAAAAAAAGGATTCCTGCCATCACTCCGGTCACTCCGGTGAAAGAGGGGGGCGAAAAATAGAAAAGGAGTTGTGAAAAGGGCTTTCAAACTGACGAACAAGTCCATCATCGAAACGACGTGTGGACTAAGGGCCTAGTAGTCGCACTACTCACCATCCGCGAACATCTTGAATGCATCTCGACAGCTTTCCTGTCCATGTTCATTCGCAATGTTGGCGCATGGCCAGTAGTTCAACTTCAAGTAGGCCCTAAGGGTCTCTCCACACACGACTGTCGAAACGGAAAACTTCAAGTGTATGTTCCCGCAGAGCGTAGCAAGATGCATCCTCTCCTAGGTAGCATCCGTTACTACGAACCGTAATTATAACGGATGCATCCTCCTCCCCCTCCTCCATTGCGCGCCGATTGACCCCTGATGATGATGGCCTGACTGCCGAACGGCCGAAACGTGCGTAGGGTCGCTCTTTCCAAGTTTCCACTTGATTGCTCTGCTCGGATCCGCTTCTAATCAAGTTTTTTTTTTTTTGGGGGGAGCTAATCAAGTTCTAGCCGGGGCCTCGACCTGCCTTTGGTTTTTGACCATTTCTCGATTTATGCGTGTCATCCTTGCGCAGGGGGCCAATGGCATGCTAATCTTCTCTGTATCGTTCCAATTTTAACCCGATGTCCCGACGAGTGCTGGGATAAGATAGGTATATAATGGGGCAAGGCATAAGGAAAAGGCCCCATCTCTTAGTGTTGATCATTTGATGGCTTCTTCCTCCTCGAGAGTCTGTTCACGGCGCAGACGAAACGCGTCGAGGGTATGCCGGGTTACTCTTGGTTTTGATCGGAGCTGTTTCCAGATTTTCTATTGGAACTACGGAGTGTGTGTGTTTTCTTATCACTAACTTTTATCACTGTGGTTTTCAGTATCAATACTTTTGCGTGCGTGGGTGACCAAGTATTTCTATTGGGTGTATCTTCCTACCTCCGTCCTCATGCTCTTGCTGTCTTTGCCGGGCAGTCTTTTTTTTTCCCTCTTCTCTTTTTGGCGCTTTCGTAGCTACACTCTTCCCCCAAATACAACGTACGGTCATTTATAGCTGAATTTAGACTGAAAGCTACACCAAATTCAGCTATAATGACTGTACTTCGCGCTTTCGTAGCTACACTCTTCCCCCGAATACGACGTACGGTCATTTATAGATGAATTTAGACTGAAAGCTCCACCAAATTCAGCTATAATAACCGTACGTTGTATTCGAGGGCAGAGTGTTGCTGGTCTCCGTTCGAGTTGACTAA